AAAAATAAAAACCCTTAAAAAAAAAAAACAAACCTCTGGGGCTGGAGAGATGGCTCAGCAGTTAAGAGCATTAGCTGCTCTTGAAGAGCACCTGGATTCAATTCCCAGCACTCACATGGCGGCTAACAACTGTCCATAATTCCAGTCCCAGGGGATCTGATGCCCTCTTCTGACCTCCATGGGCACTGCATGATACAGGTGCACTTACATACATGCAGGTAATACACTCATACACATAAAATGAAAATATCTTTAAAAAAACTCTAGCAGGGCATGGTGGCACACACCTTTAATCCCAGCACTTAGGGAGGCAGAGATAGGCAGATCTCTGTGAGTTCAAGGCCAACCTGGTCTACATAGTGAGTTCCAGGACAGCTGGGGCTACAGGGAGACCCTGTCTCGAAAAAAGACAAAAACAACAACGAAGTGAAATGAGAACATGTTACAGAGAAGCCTAGCCTAGACCGGCATCGGGAAGCCTACTCTGAGTAAATGACTTGTTTCTGAGCAATGAAGAGATACCAGGGAGGCATAATGTGGACTAGGTATGAGTTTAGGGTGGGGACAGAAAACAGCAGGAACAGAGTCCTCAAGATAGTGGTTACTTTTTTTTTTTTTTTTTGGTCTTTTTGAGACAGGGTCTCCCTGTAGCTCCAGCTGTCCTGGAACTCACTATGTAGACCAGGCTGGCCTTGAACTCACAGAGATCCGCCTGCCTCTGCCTCCCGGGTGCTGGGATTAATGGTGTGTGCCACCACGCCCGGCCAGTGATTACTTTTTAAAAAATTATTATTTTTGTTTTATGTGTCGAGTATATTGCCTGCATATATGTGAGTGCACCTGTGTCAGTCCAATGCCACAGAGGTCAGAAGAGCACGTTGGATTCCCCTGGAATTGGAGTTAAGGACATTCATAGCTGCCATGTGGGTGCTGGGAATCGAACCTGGGTTCTCTGCAAGAGCAGTCAGTGCTCTTAACTGCTGAGCCATCTCTCCTGCCCCAAAGTTGGAACTTTAAAAAAATATTTTTATTTTATGTGCCTGCATGTAGGTAGGTGCACCTGTACCCGTGTCATGAAGTGCTCTTGGAGGTCAAAAGAGAATATCAGATACCTGAAATATTGGACAGTTGCTAGCCACCATGTGGGTGCTGGGAATTGAACCCCAGCCCCTGCAAGAACAGCCAGGGTTCTTAACTGCTGAGTTATCTCTCCAGCTCATTAAGTTGCTACTTTCAAGAGAGTAGTGTTTGGAACACAGTAGGCAAAACAGTGCTTCGACTGTAGATAGTGAGTTGATCAGCATGTACCTGAGATCCTGAAGTGTGCTGTTCTAGACACTGATACATAGGCATCAAGAGAGACATGACTCCTTGTCTTTAAGGTTAGTGAGCAACAGTAAGCACATAAATCATTAAATATAATTAAAGATATTCTAAGTAGTGTAAAGAAAATAAAAGAAAGTTTTTAGACTAGAGAGTATAATGAAAAGAAAGAAAATGCCAGGTATTGTGGTGCATGCCTGCAAACCCAGAACTTGAGAAGTGGAGGTAAGATGATCAGAAGTTCAAGGGCATCCTTGGCTACATAAGGAGTTCTAGGCTAGCCTGGGATACATAAAACCCTGTCTCCAAAAAAAAAAAAAAAAAAAAGGCCAGGCATGCCTTTAATACCAGCACCTGAGAGGCAGAGGCAGGAGGATCTATGTGACATGGATGCCAGCCCTGTCTATATAGGGAGATCCAGGCCAGCTGGGGCTACAAGGAGACCCTGTCTCAAAAAGACCAAAAACAAACAAACAAAAAACCCCAACCAATCAAACAAACGAAAAAAGAGTAACTAGAAAGCTCCTTTAGGTGGTAAAGGCAGTAAAGGATTTTCAGGAAAAGATTGCAACTGAGCTGAGGCCTTGATGGAAAGGAAACCATCATGCAAAGATCAAGGGAAAAACATTCCAAAACCAGAGCAAGCAGGCACATATTCTGCAGGATGGACGCTGTAATACACCGAAAGGGCAGAGTGGCTGGACGACTGAGAATGAAGACAAATCTTAGGCAAAGGACTGCAAAACAGGGAGACAAAACAGAAGGTGAAGTCAGAGCGTGAGATGGGAAATCGTGGGTGTTGGAATGATACCACACTTTATGCTAAATATTTTCTAAAATGCAAATTAGGCTTTAGAAATGTATGTTGTATGTGCATATGTGTGGAGGTTAGAGGACAACTTGTGGGAGTTGGTTCTCTCCTTCTACCACTGGGATCCCAGCATCCAACTCAGGTAGTCAAGGTTTGCAGTAGGCACTGTTACCCACTGAGTCATCTCACTGGTCCTGCTTGAGCAATCTTTAATATCTGGCTTGTGATACATTTTACATTGAATGATGGGTTATACGTGTAATCAAGGGTGGCTTTGGCAGTTAGGTAGACAGCAGCACACACTCTAAAGAGATGGATTCTAGGAAAAGCATGCTGGGAGATGGAATCAATAGTTCTTTTGGTGAAGTCTGAGAGGACTTAGGCATTAAGTGGTTATGCTGAGGAGGCAGTGCCCTATTATGTGCAAGGGATGGAAATCAGGATGGAAATATAAACTTGAGTCATTGGTGTTTCAATGGTATTTGAAGCTGTTAGAATGGATGAGATCATCTAGGGAGGAAGTACAGAGAAGGGATGAAGCCTTCCCTTTCCCTGCCCACAAGGCAGGCTATGGATGGTACAGCCTATCCTAAGGCCCTGAAGGGTATAATAAAACTTCGCATATTGCATCCATGTGTGCACTCACCCACATGAATACTCTCTCTCTTTCTCTCTCCCTCCCTCCTCCAAAACTAGATGGCTGAGTTTTTTTTTTCTGGTATAGGGTCTCAAGTAGGCCAGGCTGGCCTCTAATGTGGTATGTAGCTGAGGATGACCTTGAACTCCTGATCTTCCTGATTTCACCTCCCAAGTGCTGGGATTTAGCTGTGCACCACTTTGCCCAGCTCACTGGTTGTAAAGTGGGAAACAATCTGGAAGAAGAGCAGATGGAAAGGACCAGGTTAGGGGACTCCTGTCTTCCAGACAGAAGCTGAGAGTAGCATAATTTTCAAAGATTAAAAATAGAGATCGAGGGCTGGAGAGATGGCTCAGTGGTTAAGAGCACTGGCTGCTCTTGCAGACGACTCAGGTTTGAATCCTGGCACCCATGTGGCGGCTAACAACTGTTCATAACTGCAGTTCCAGGGGATCCCATCTCTTCTGATCTCTGAGGTCACTGCATGACATAAGTACACTCACATACATGCAGGCAATACACTCATATACATTAAATAAAAATAAATATTTTTAAAAAAAAAAAATAGAGACTGATTGTTTCTCCCCTTTTGGCTAAGATCAAGTGTAAAAAATAGAGACTGAGCTGGGTGTGGTGATGGATGCCTTTAGTCCCAGCACTTGGGCAGCATAGAGGCAGGCAGATCTCTGTGAGACTGAGGCCAGCCCCCTCTATATAGCAGGCCAGCTGGGGGCTACATGGAGACACGGTCTGGGGGAGGGCAGAGACAGAGAGAGAGAGAGAGAGAGAGAGAGAGAGAGAGAGAGAGACAGAGAGAGAGAGACAGAGAGAGACAGAGAGAGAGACAGAGAGAGAGAGAGACAGAGACAGAGACAGAGATTCCTACTAATTATTCCTACTCATGGTTTGGTAATTGATAGGGTAAAGTCAAGGAGGATTCCCAAGCATCCTGGCTCATGACTCTAACACTCAGAAGGTCAAGGGAAGAGAATTCCCACAAGTTGGAAGAGTAACACTGTCTCAAAGAAGAGGGCTGAGGAGATGGTTCAGTCATTAAACCACTTGCCATGCAAGGGCGAGGACCACAGTTCTCATCTCCAGAATCTGCATAAAGGCTACGTGGCCTGCCATTCCAGCCTTGGATGGTGGAGATAGGCCATCCTCAGAGCAAGCTATCTACCTGGGTTTGATGGAGAGACCTTGTTCAATGAACAAGGTAGAAGAGTGGCCAATGATTCACATCAACCTTAGGCTTCTACATGTTTATGCACATATGTGCCCATACATGTGCAAATGTGTATATGCACACACACCCCACACATATGAAAATGGAAAAAGAAAAATAGATGCTTAAATAAAAAAGGGGGAAAAAGCCAACCAGCTAGCTTGAGTCCCAGTGGATGAACTGACTGAAGACATACAAATAGCTCTTCCTGGGACTGAAGAGATGGATCAGCGATTAAGAGCACTGACTGCTCTTGCAGAGGACCCGGGTTCGATTCCCAGCACCCACATGGCAGCTACGAACTGTCCTTAACTCCAGTTCCAAGGGAATCTGAAGCCCTCTTCTGACCTCCACGGCACTGCACGACACTGGTGCACTCACATACACTCCTGGGAAAAGCAAGGAGTCTTGGAAAGTAAGTTTTTGAAGTCAGTTACACAGCCCTGTAATTCCAGCACTCGCGAGGCAGAGGCAGGAGGATCCAGAGTCCCAGGTCAACCTTAGCTGCATGCTGAATTTTAGGCCAGCCTGAGCTCCTGAAGATCCTGACTCAAAAAAAAAAAAAAAGAAAGAAAAAGAAAAACAGAAAACATGGTCAGGGCTTGGTGGCCCACGCCTTTAGTCCCAGCACTCAGGAGGCAGAGGCGGGCAGATCTCTGTGAGGTCTAGGCCAACCTGGTCTACACTGCGAGCTCCAGGTCACCACCGCTACATGGCGTCACCCTGTCTCAATAGACCAACCACAACCAGCCCTTCCATAGACGTTTCTGTGCCGTTTCTGTGCAGGAGGGGTGAGGGAGTTGGGTGGAGGCTGCAGGCCTAGGGAAAGAACCGGGCACAGTCCTCACTGCACCGGCGCTGCCGCCCCAGGCCCGACATTGGAGGCCGGAGACCTGAGACCCGAGTCCTCAGGCCCCAAGAGCCGGGCCTGAGGCCCAAAACCCGTGACCCCAGACACGAAGCCTGAGATTCGAGACCTGAGACCCCAGGCCCGAGGCCGGTACCTGTTTCCTCGCCCCGCCGCACGGACCTTGGAGGAGGCCACCGGAGCCCGCCTAGGAAGCTCTGACAAGGCAGACTCAGATCCTGAAAGGCTGTGGAGTTCAGACTAGCACCCCCCTCCCCCCACACGAGCACAGGCGACGACCTCCCACCAGATCGCCTGTGCGTGCGCTGCCACGTGACCTCGGGCAGCCTCTGCGCATGCGCAGTATCAGGGCTGCGTCAGACCTGCGCATGCGCGGTACCTCACGCAGCAGGGTGTGTGTGTGTGTGTGTGTGTGTGTGTGTGTGTGTGTGTGTGTCTGTCTGTCTGTCTGTCTGTCTGTGTCTGTGTCTGTGTCTGTGTATGCTTCTGTGTGTCTGTCTGTGTCTGTGTCTGTGTATGCTTCTGTGTGTATCTGTCTGTGTGTGTGTCTGTGTCTACCTGTGTCTGTGTGTCTGTGAGTGTGCTCCAGTCAGGTATGAGGCACTTTGGGCCCCCTACTGTGTGCCAGGCATTGTACATTAATCCTAAGGCAGGTCTTCCATGTTTCGGTTTTTAAAAATATTATTTTTATGTCTATGAGTGTATTGCCTTCATATATGTAAGTACACCCGTGTCATTCAGTGCTCACGGATGTCAGAAGAGGGCGTCAGATCCCCTGGTTGTTAGCTATCGTATGGGTGCTGGGAATTGAACCTGGGTCTTTTGCACGAGCAGTCAGTGCTCTTAATTACTGAGCCATCTCTGCAGCCCCCATGTTCTGATTTTTTATTTTTTTCCAAGTTCACGTCAGATGGGTAATGTCCCGGTGCATAACAAGGTTTGAGGGTGGCACATGTTACACATGTACATGAACACCCAGTCATCACAGTTATGAACCAAAAAAAGTATCCCCATGTTCTGGAACTCACTTTGTAGACCAGGCTGGCCTTGAATTCACAGAGTCGCCTGCCTCTGCCTCCCGAGTGCTGGGATTAAAGGCATATGCCACCATGCCCCGCCATGTTCTGATTTTTTTTTTTTTTTTTTTTTTTTTTTTTTGTCTTCTGTAGCCCCAGCTGTCCTGAAACTCCCTATGTAGACCAGGCTGGCCTCGAACTCACAGAGATCCGCCTGCCTCTGCCTCCCCAAGTGCTGGGATTAAAGGTGTGTGCCACCAGGCTTGCTGCATGTTCTGATTTTTAAGGCAACCTGGAAAAGGAAGTGAGGGACTAGGAGCTAGCCATATCTTTTGGGACAGGTAGATAGAGTGAGGGCCACTCTACCTGTGTAAAAGATGGTGTAATTAAGGGTCTAGAAAGATGGCTCAGCGGTTAAGAACACTGGTTGTTCTTGCAGAAGACCCGGGTTTGAATCCCAGCACTCACATGGCAGCAAACAACTCCAATTCCAGTCTTCTGAGAGCATTGCACGACTTGGGTGCACTTACCTATATGCAGGCATAACACTCATACACATGAAATAATAAAATATTTTTGGTCTTTTGCCGGTGCCAACCAGCCAAGACAGACAGTACCTGAAAGGGGGAGTGAGGATTGAAAGAAAAAACAAGAGACAGAAAAGATACTGGGGAGGGCTGACAGTAGTGTACACATGAAATAATAAAATATTTTTGGTCTTTGGCCGGTGCCAACCAGCCAAGACAGACAGTACCTGAAAGGGGGAGTGAGGATTGAAAGAAAAAACAAGAGACAGAAAAGATACTGGGGAGGGCTGACAGTAGTGTCTGCAGCCCCAGTTTATTTCAGCTCTGCCTTTTTATACAGAAGACTCAATTCTTATCAACAGCTGTTTTTCCCACCTGTATCTGAGGGTCAAGGAGCGGTCAAATACTTCAAAGCCTTCTTTGATCTTTTTGTTTACCACTATTGCCTCCAGGTCAGGTATTGTGAGGCTCTCCATATAAACACATTCCTCCTGAATAGGCAGATTAGGTACTGGTGTGCATAACACAAACTCAGTAAACAAGCCTGCCACAGCTCAATGCACATAATAGACTAGCAGCTCCCAACATGGG